TTGGCACCACAGGTCTCCTCCGTCCATGCCCAGGAGCCATCTGCAGCCATGCTGAAGCAGATCCTGGCAGACATGTACGTGGACCCGGAGCTCCTGGCAGAACTGAGCGAGGAGCAGAAGCAGATCTTGTTCTTCAAGATGAGGCAAGAGCAGATCAGAAGATGGAAGGAAAGAGAAGTCGCGGTCACTTCGCCGCAGCCAGCAGTGAAGAAAGGTCAGTGAACAAGCGTCTCTGGTGGTGCCTGGGCATTTGAAATCTAGTGGGAAGAAAATGAGCTGTTGTTGTTGTTATTTGCATTTATTATTGAGATTTCTGTTGTGCCCTTCAAGCATGTTTTCCGGGCAAATGAGAATACAACACAATAAACGGTGAAGCTTTGGGGTAGGGTGTAAGAAAGTACTTCCCTACAGATGGAAGTTAATACCAAGTATTATACAGTGGTACCTCAGGTTAAGTACTTAATTCGTTCCGGAGGTCCGCTCTTAACCTGAAACTGTTCTTAACCTGAAGCACCACTTCAGCTAATGGGGCCTCCTGCTGCCACCATGCCGCCGGAGCACGATTTCTGTTCTTATCCTGAAGCAAAGTTCTTAACCCGAGGTACTATTTCTGGGTTAGCAGAGTCTGTAACCTGAAGCGTATGTAACCTGAAGCATATGTAACCCGAGGTACCACTGTCTTTAGATCACTAATAATCATAAGAAGCCTATTATGCAGGTCAGTAGTACTATTACAGAGGTACCTCGGTTTACATACGCTTCAGGTTACAGACGCTTCAGGTTACAGACTCCACTAACCCAGAAATATTACCTTGGGTTAAGAACTTTGCTTCAGGACGAGAAGAGAAATCGTGCAGCGGCAGCAGGAGGCTCCATTAGCTAAAGTGGTGCTTCAGGTTAAGAGCAGTTTCAGGTTAAGAACGGACCTCCGGAACGAATTAAGTTCTTAACCCGAGGTACCACTGTATTCCTAAATTGGAGGGGGGGAGAAGTCTGTGTGGATGGAGGGGGGAAGTAAGGCAGAGAGAGAGAGAGAGAGAGAGAGAGAGAGAGAGAGAGAGAGACTGACAGAGAGAGCTACAGTTACCTGAAGCCACCTGGTGAGATCATTGCAGAGGTTGAGATTTGAGGTGAGGACTTTGTATCAAACAGCAGCTGTCTCTCCCTCTCACCTCAGTCACTATGCTTCACTAGCTACATTAAATACACAAGCATCAGGCTGTTCAGTAAATTTATTTTGAAGTGGTTCAGGTAGGTCCAATTCCTAGTAGATCACTCTTACGGAGACAATCCTCAGCTGTCGCACACAGCTCTCCTTTCTCATGGAAATGAAGTAACTCTGTCTACCTTTCCCCCTTTGTAATAATAATAATACCCCTCCCATCTGGCTGGGTTTCCCCAGCCACTCTGTGCGACTTCCAACAGAATATTAAAATAAGGTAAAGGTAAAGGTACCCCTGCCCGTACGGGCCAGTCTTGACAGACTCTAGGGTTGTGCGCCCATCTCACTCAAGAGGCCGGGGGCCAGCGCTGTCTGGAGACACTTCCGGGTCACGTGGCGAGCGTGACAAAGCCGCATCTGGCGAGCCAGCGCAGCACACGGAAACGCCGTTTACCTTCCCGCTGGTAAGCAGTCACTATTTATCTACTTGCACCCGGGGGTGCTTTCGAACTGCTAGGTTGGCAGGCGCTGGGACCGAGCAATGGGAGCGCACCCTGCCACGGGGATTCGAACCGCCGACCTTTCGATCGGCAAGTCCTAGGCGCTGAGGCTTTTACCCACAGCGCCACCCGCGTCCCTGAATATTAAAATACAATAGTCTATTAAACATTAAAAGCTTCCCTAAACAGGGCTGCCTTCAGATGTCTTCTAAAGTCTGGTAGTTGTTGTTCTCTTTAACATCTGGTGGGAGGGCATTCCACAGGGCGGGCGCCACTACCGAGAAGGCCCTCTGCCTGGTTCCCTGTAACTTGGCTTCTCACAGCAAGGGAACTGCCAGAAGGCCCTCGGAGCTGGACCTCAGTGTCCGGGCAGAACGATGGGGGTGGAGACGCTCCTTCAGGTATAGTGGACCGAGGCTGTTTAGGGCTTTAAAGGTCAGCACCAACACTTTGAATTGTGCTCAGAAACGTACTGGGAGCTAGTGTAGGTCTTTCAAGACCGGTGTTATACGGTCTCGACAGCTGCTCCCAGTCACCAGTCTAGCTGTCTCTATATTATTTGTTAAATTTCTATACCTCCTTTCTCTGAAGATCACAGGGTGGTTGACAATATAAAAACACAACAATGCATAACATAGTAACAAACAAAAGCAATAGCCCCACACACAGTTTAAAAGGCCAGATTGTTTAATTAGCCAAAGGTCTGGTTGAAGAGGAAAGTTTTCACTACCTAGGCGCCAGACGAGCCTCCCTAGAGAGAGCATTCCACAAATGGGGAACCACCACGAAAAAGGCCCCGCTCTCATGTTGCCACCCTCCAGGCCTCTCATCGAGGAGGCACACAAAGAAGGACCAGGTCGGTTCATATAGAGACAGGCAGCCCTTGAGGTATCGCAGTCCTGACCCATTTATGGCTTTATAGGTCGGCACCAGCACTTTGAACTGAGCCTGGAAATGAAATGGAAGCCCTTCCAGTCGTTCCACCACCACCACCTGGCAATTAATATCTACTCTGAGTAAAACTACCACCCTTGGTTTCTCAGTGGAGCTATCTTGCCCTTCAGTTCTGAAGAACTCCCAGGGTGGCTTACAATGAAAGGAATCCAATTACAGTGGTACCTCGCAAGACGAATGCCTCGCAAGACAAAAAACCCGCTAGACGAAAGGGTTTTTTGAGCTGCTTCGCAAGACGATTTTCCCTATGGGCTTGCTTCGCAAGACGGAAACGTCTTGCAAGTTTGTTTCCTTTTTCTTAACACCGTTAATACAGTTGCGACTTGACTTCGAGGAGCAACTCATAGAACGCGGTGTGGTAGCCTTTTTTGAGGTTTTTAAAGACTTTGGTGATTTTTGAAGCTTTTCCAAAGCTTTCCCGACACCGTGCTTCGCAAGACGAAAAAAAATCGCAAGACGACAAAACTCGCGGAACGAATTAATTTCGTCTTGCGAGGCACCACTGTAACAGGAATGCAATTGTGTTCTTGTCAAAGCGTCAGATCAATAACAGTAATCAGGGTGTGTTTCATTGGAGGAACAGGAAATCCCAGTGATGAAATCAACCATACCATAGGCTCTCGTGCAACGGGCGAGACGGCACTTTTTCCTCTCACACCGTTGGACCCGCTCTCACTTAGATAAATTGCCCCTACCTCACTGAACAACCCTTTACCCGACTGATTCTTTTCCTTTCCTCTTAAAATTCTAACCCAGAGTATCCTGCGGGGGACCTTTGTGAGGGGATATTTAGTAAGTTGGAGTCTCAGACAGGTTTTCTTTAAATAAACAATAAAGATTTATTTAAGGCAAGATAGTATATAACACAAATGGATTACACTTAGGTTACTTCAGGAATGGAGTGCAATTTCACTTTAATTTGCTCTCAGTTGTTTTTGGCATTACAGTGGTACCTTGGGTGAAGCACTTAATTCGTTCTGGAGGTCCGTACTTAACCTGAAACTGTTCTTAACCTGAAGCACCACTTTAGCTAATGGGGCCTCCTGCTGCCGCCAGAGCACGATTTCTGTTCTCATCCTGAAGCAAAGTTCTTAACCTGAAGCACTATTTCTGGGTTAGCAGAGTCTGTAACCCGAAGCGTATGTAACCTGAAGAGTATGTAACCTGAGGTACCACTGTATAGGTTTTGTTCCATTGTACGGTGATACTTTCTTTCAGTTATCCACCCCCTTTAAGTACTTTAAGTAATAGACCCAGGGGCTCTCCACACCCCATCCCTTCACTGGGTTTTGGGAGTTTCTTCTTTTCCTTGGAAGAATCTCTCTCCTCCAGACTAGATTTGAGTCCCAAGTAGGCTTCCAGCTCCTACTTCTCCCGGCTCAACCTCTGCCTCCCAGTAAAATTCCGGTCTATTCCTCCTAAAGGACACCGCACTCTGTCCTTCACAAGTGAGGTAAGGTCTGGTCAGACCTCCCCTGGAGTACTGTGTCCAGTTCTGGGCACCACAGTTCAAGAAGGACACTGACAAACTGGAACGTGTCCAGAGGAGGGCAACCAAAATGGTCAAAGGCCTGGAAACGATGCCTTATGAGGAACGGCTAAGGGAGCTGGGCATGTTTAGCCTGGAGAAGAGGAGGTTAAGGGGTGATATGATAGCCATGTTCAAATATATAAAAGGATGTCATATAGAGGAGGGAGAAAGGTTGTTTTCTGCTGCTCCAGAGAAGCGGACACGGAGCAATGGATCCAAACTACAAGAAAGAAGATTCCACCTAAACATTAGGAAGAACTTCCTGACAGTAAGAGCTGTTCGACAGTGGTATTTGCTGCCAAGGAGTGTGGTGGAGTCTCCTTCTTTGGAGGTCTTTAAGCAGAGGCTTGACAACCATATGTCAGGAGTGCTCTGATGGTGTTTCCTGCTTGGCAGGGGGTTGGACTCGATGGCCCTTGTGGTCTCTTCCAACTCTATGATTCTATGATATGCTCAGAGTGGAAGTTGTTTTTTTCTTTCCAGAACCAACTTTTTCTCGCATTCACTCTTTCTTCCTCAACCTGTCTCCTAACCTGTCTCCCTACCTATCTCCCCAACCTCTATTCCAACCCAACCTTCTCCTCACTCTCTCTCCTGGAACCACGGCCAATTAGAGGCTGCCATTCACTAACCATTTGCTGGCAGGGAAAGAAAGGGGGGGAAATAAACACTTTTTGATCCAACCGGTCCAGCAAAACCAACTTTCTCGCCACATCTCATTCTCCACTTGGCAATCTTCCTTGTGGTAACTGCAAACTTCAAGCTACCACATCCAAACAAACGTGGGCCATTTTGTGTACATTGCTGGGCTGCTTCCAGATGGGAGATTACTGTGGAAACTGTTTGCATGAAGCACACAATGTCATAATCAGCCACTCAGAAGTAAATCTTGTGTGTTCTGGTCAAAGGAACTGGGATAACTAAGGAGCTGGAGAATTGCATACCCTCAATTTATAGAATAAGATCACTGGTGCATCTAACCTAGGGTTGTCTGTTCTGCCAGCCCATCTCAGAAGACAGAGGCAGGTCTTTCCCAGGCCTGTTAAATGAAATTTGTAACTGGCTGCTAGGGGCCAGTTAGGACGCGGGTGGCGCTGTGGGTTAAACCACAGAGCCTAGGACTTGCCGATCAGAAGGTCGGAAGTTCGAATCCCTGTGATGGGGAGAGCTCCCGTTGCTCGGTCCCTGCTCCTGCCCACCTAGCAGTTTGAAAGCACGTCAAAGTGCAAGTAGATAAATAGGTACCGCTCCGGCGGGAAGGTAAACGGTGTTTCCACGCGCTGCTCTGGTTCGCCAGAAGTGGCTTAGTCATGCTGGCCACATGACCCGGAAGCTGTATACCAGCTCCCTCGGCCAATAAAGCGAGATGAGCGCTGCAACCCCAGAGTTGGCCACGACTGGACCTAATGGTCAGGGGTCCCTTTACCTTTAGGTACTGAAAATGGGCTCTCATTATGCCAGCCATGCACTCTGCAAATGAGCTTTGAAAACACACACTCCATCATGGGTTGTGCTGGGATGAGGTCTGTGCAGTGAGGACTGGACTGGGCAGTGTGTTAGCCTAGTCAACACACTGTGTATCATTGCCCTAGCTGGGGAGGTCCTTGGATCATGTGCCCCTTCTCATGGGGCCTTCCTACCGAACCTTGTTTTTTGTTTTGCAGTCCATGGGAAATCCGTTCAGTGGAAGCTGGGAGCAGACGGTGACGTCTGGGTGTGGGTGATGGGCGAACATTCCCTGGACAAGCCATATGACCAGCTCTGCAGTGACCTTCTTGCTGAAAAAGTGAAGCACCAGTCACTTCAAGAAGCAGGGGCAATAAGGTTGGTATGGCTTTCCAAACATTCAGAACAATACTCAAAAATCTGGCCCAACCGGTCGGCCAGCTGGTTTTTCCTGACAGACGAAGGGATCAGGCACTGACTAGTACAAACTGGGAACCTCTCCGTTCAGATGAAAGATTCTCCAAACCATGTTTGCCTTTTAAAGACCTGCCTTTGTCAGTTTATGCTGTGTGAGTGTGAAATCCAGTTCCAAATGCACTCCCCTTGACTACGCAAAATATTAATAGTGTTAAAAGGTTTTTTTTGGGGGGAGGAGCAAGGATCCCCTCAACTCCTGGGTGCGAGATGCTCCCCATAATTCCTGGATTTTGTAAAAGTTAGAATTAATGAAGGTTTGATTAAACTGTGTGAAACTCTGCTGGATCCAGTTTATGCTGGCATAGCTAGTTGCGTGTGGGTCATTGGAGGAACAAAGCTAATAATGGTCTCACCATTAACCCATCAAGAAAGACATTAGGAAGAGGAAGACTATATTGGACAAGGAGGGTAGGTCCTGTCCTGTAGCTACGTATTAGTAGGTGGTGACAAAAGGGTTTTAAACAGGGGTCAGCAAACTTTTTCAGCAGGGGGCCTGTCCACTGTCCCTCAGACCTTGTGGGGGGCCAGACTTTATTTTGAAGGGGGGGAAATGAACGAATTCCTGTGCCCCGCAAATAACTCAGATGTGCATTTTAAATAAAAGCACACATTCTACTCATGTAAAAACACGCTGATTCCCGGTCTATCCGTGGGTCGGATTTAGAAGGTGATTGGGCTGGATCCAGCCCCTGGGCCTTAGTTTGCCTACCCATGGTTTTAAGAGTGTAGGATTTCCTTTTGGATTATGTAACTGAACAGAAAAAAATGTCAGTTTTGCAAGCTGGAGTGGGGAGCCAGAGCATGAGGCAGGATGTCTGTTTTATGCAGCCAAGAGGGTCAGACATGATGTCTGGGGTCTCTTGAAATCTGAGGCTGGAAGGAACAGGACCCTCTTGGGATGTGGATGCTCTGCACACACTCCATCAAGGCACAGGTGTATACCGTATTTTTTGCTCTATAAGACTCACTTTTCCCCTCCTAAAAAGTAAGGGGAAATGTGTGTGCGTCTTATGGAGTGAATGCAAGCTGCACAGCTATCACAGAAGCCAGAACAGCAAGAGGGATTGCTGCTTTCACTGCGCAGCGATCCCTCTTGCTGTTCTGGCTTCTGAGATTCGGAATATTTTTTTTCTTGTTTTCCTCCTCCCAAAACTAGGTGCATCTTGTGGTCTGGTGCGTCTTATAGAGCGAAAAATACGGTATATATAGATGTGCCAAGAAACCATATGTCATAAAGACACCACAGTTTCCGCTGTGCCTCATTGTCCCCAAAGGGAACACAGACCCTGGCAAGCTTGCCTAGTACCCCTGGTACCTCTGCACTGCTTGGAGACTGGGGTGGAGTTTAACAAAAGAAATAACAAGGAAATGGTGTAGTTCTGAGTATGGCTGTCAGTTTCAAGACCTTTATTTCCACTAGCGAAACCCAGAATGGCCATCCTGCATGTCATAGGAACATAGGAACCTGGCAAACCAGACCAGCTTAATGCTGTCTGTATCGACTGGTAACAGCTCACTAGGGTGTCAGGCAGGGATCACTCCCAACCCTACCTGGAGATGCCAGGATTTGAACCAGGCACCTTCTACATGCAGAGTGAATGCTTGTCCACTGAGCTACAGGCTCCCCGCCACTGACACTGGCTGGAAGGCAGTAACTTGCCTCTGGCCCTTTCCTGAGATGCGCTGCTACTTTGTAAGTTGGCGAACACATCCATCCAATGGTCCCCATTTACTAAGGCCAGTTCTGATTTTCTGGTACTTGACCCTTTATTTATTTGTTTGCTGAAGACTTCTAGGCTGGTTTTTTAGAGAGCCCTACACTCTTAAAAGGGACACGGGTGACCCTGTGTTGTAAACCACTGAGCCTTGAGCTTGCCGATCGGAAGGTTGGCGGTTCGAATCCCTGCGATGGGGTGAGCTCCTGTTCCTCGGTCCCAGCTCCTGCCAACCTAGCAGTTAGAAAGCACATCAAAGTGCAAGTAGATAAATAGGGAAGGTAAATGGCGTTTCCATGTGCTGCTCTGGTTCACCAGAAGTGGCTTAGTCCTGCTGGCCACATGACCCAGAAGCTGCACGCCGGCTCCCTCAGCCAATAAAGCGAGATGAGCGCCGCAACCCCAGAGTCGTCCGCGACTGGACCTAGCGGTCAGGGGTGCCTTTACCTTACACTCATAAAAGGGATGCGGGTGGCGCTGTGGTGTAAACCACTGAGCCTTGGGTTTGCCGACCGGAAGGTCGGAAGTTCAAATCCCCACAACGGGGTGAGCTCCCGTTGCTCTGTCCCAGCTCCTGCCAACCTAGCAGTTCGAAAGCACATCAAAGTGCAAGTAGATAAATAGGTACCATTCCAGCAGGAAGGAAAATAGTGTTTCCGTGCGCTGCTCTGTTTTCGCCAGAAGCAGCTTAGTCATGCTGGCCACATGACCCGGAAAAACTCTCTGCGGACAAACGTCGGCTCCCTCAGCCAGTAAAGCGAGATGAGCACCGCAACCCCAGAGTCGTTCGCGACTGGACTTAACTGTCAGGGGTCCTTTACTTTACACTCATAAAATGAAATGGCTTACAGGAGTTGTTTAAAACCCTGGTGCACTGCTGTGCCTTCAGGGCAATTTCTTGAAAGCAGGGAGGGAGCCTTTTAAAAATGTTGCTAACATGATTTGGTAAGTTGTCCATCTTCAGGTTACTGCTTTCTCTCTACTCCTCTAGGGTTTGAATGTTAGGAATGCGCATGATGGGGGTGTTGAGGGTAGGAGTGCATGTGTTTCACCTCGTCCATATGTACACACTGCATGCTAATGTGTGTTCAGTGTGAGACAATGTGCCTTTTTGGGGGGTACTGTACACATGGCATCGTCTCCCTGTCATCCCTGCCCCATCCAATTTGTTAATCTAAAGCTCATTCTATTTTTTCGTTTCATTTCCCAAAATCCTCTTTTGGTCCATTTACAGAAGAAACCTAGTGGAAGGCTTCACAGAACATTCTGCCTCGTCACCTCTGCATTTTCCATCAGACACCCAGTTTGGGTCAGAATCGCAAGGAGGCAGTAAAAACCTCGCAAACTGGGATGTGTACAAAGCGGTGAAAAAAGAACCAGTTCCTGAAAATGCCAGAAATCAAGAATATGCCCAGGTAATTTTCTGGTCTTATGTTACTACTCAAACGTTAAGATGAAGGTTCAGCTGAAATTGAGAGAGATACACTACAAGTTGGATGGTGCCTAAATGAAACCAAAGCTTAAGGGGCCAAACTACACATGAATAGAAATATATGAGCTCAGATCTTGTCATATTTTTGGAAGACTTTAAAGCTGCCATGGGAATCATCAAACTGTATCAGAGCTTATAACCCTGGGGTAGAGGGGAGGGTTAACCCTTTCCCAGTTTCAGCTATTCTGCTTCAAATCCTCTCATTTAAGTCTTTTTTAAAAAAAATAGAAGGCGAGTGGGCCGGATCCGGCCCCTGGGCCTTAGTTTGCCTACCCATGAGTTAGACACTAAGAAAAACTGATGGTGAATTTTTGTGGCCTGCCTTGCCATGGTTTCTGTTTGCTCGTTTTTATGCCCAATGAGTACTGTTACCAGGAAATTGGAATGGGGGTGAGATACCTCACCCCCCCAAGCCTTGCCTCTCCACACTACGAGGCAAAGACAAAGAGCTTCTGCTGTACATTGCCAAATGTAGCAATTCACTAATTGTACTGTCTCAATGGGAAAACTTTAGAATATAAAATCACTCCAGTGACGGATTTACAGTGGTACCTCGGGTTACAGACACTTCAGGTTACAGACTCCGCTAACTCAGAAATAGCACCTCGCGTTAAGAACTTTGCTTCAGGATGAGAACGGAAATCGTGCAAGAGCAGCAGTGGGAGGCCCCATTAGCTAAAGTGGTACCTCAGGTTAAGAACAGCTTCAGGTTAAGAATGGACCTCCAGAATAAATTAAGCTCTTAACCCAAGGTACCACTGTACACCATTCCAACATTGTTCTACTCAGAAGGAAAATGGCTAGCAGGGGAGGAGCTTGGGACATGGGTAAAAGGTAAAGCGTTCATTAGGTCCAGTCGTGGCGAACTCTAGGGTTGCGGCGCTCATCTCGCTTTACTGGCTGAGGGAGCCGGTGTACAGCTTCCGGGTCATGTGGCCAGCATGAGTAAGCCACTTCTAGGCGAACCAGAGCAGCGCACGGAAACACCGTTTACCTTCCCACTGGAGCGGTACCTATTTATCTACTTGCACTTTGATGTGCTTTTGAACTGCTAGGTTGGCAGGAGCGGGGACCGAGCAACGGGAGCTCACCCTGTCACGGGGATTCGAACCGCCGACCTTCTGATCGGCAAGTCCTAGGCTCTGTGGTTTAACCCACAGCGCCACCCGCGTCCCGGGACATGGGTAGGGGCATTCATAATCCCGAAGTGTTGTTGTTGTTTAGTGCAATCCCTGAAGTGAGTGGGTGATAACCGCTGGCATTCTGGCACCTGAGTGCCAGACAGGTCATCATTCCAAGAACAATCCAACCCAACCTCAGTGGATTGGGGTCTCAGTCAAGACAAAGGGTGTGTTTAACTTGGCTGGGGAAACAGGAAAATGTAAATACTTTCCTTTGTTTCACCTGAAAATTGGAATCTGGAGGTCATGTGAGGGAAAGGGCAAGCCTGGCTGGTGCTCAGGTATCTGTCAGAAGACCCCTCCCAGTTTATGACATAGTTATGACAATTTCCGCCCTCCCTTCCCCACAGGTGGGCGGGGTTTGTGGCACCGAGTGGGAGCTCACCTGGGCAGGTCCTTCCCACCTGTTTGGGCCAGCCTTTGACCCACCCTCGGCCAGGGAGGACAATGGACGGCTGGCCGGGGTTGGGGCAAAGGCCAAAGAAAAGAGGCTGACCCCTTTGTCCAAGCCTCTTTTGGTTTCCCTGGTCGAGGGCAGGTCAAAGGCCGGCCCAAACAGGTGGGAGGCACCTGCCCAGGTGAGCCCCTGCTCAGTGCCGCAAACCCCACCCACCTGTGGGGAAGGGAGGGCAGAAATTGGGGGAATTGTAAGAAAGGGGGGCATCCTTTGTTCGGGGCTTCTCTCGTGCTTCTTCCATGTGGTAGTTGGAAGTCTTGTTGCAACAATAAAGATCAGGCCTACTGGACGCTGTCTTGCTTCAATCTCCTGGCTGAAGTCTCTTCCTTGTGATCCCTGGCCTGTGTTGTAAATAAAAAATGCCCTTTTCCCTTATGGCATACCCAAGAGCCCATATAGAGTCCTTACAAAGGTTCCCTATTGGTAGGAGAAAATAACAGAGGCCAACCAGAGAATATTGAGAAGCAAAGCATCTAGTAAGCTTGATCTTACTGATCTGTTGCAACAGGGTGCTCCCCTCACCTGCAGAAAAGGAGGAGGAACCCCGAAAAATGGCACGCAAGGCCTTATAAAGACTTTTGAAATTCCCAACCTGTAGATCAAGACCACCCCCAGAAACATCATACATACATACATCACAGAAGGGGTGTAACCTAAGACCACCCCTCAGATACATCATACATCACAAAAAAGGCGGTCTAAACAGAAATTTGAATGTTGTTTTTTCTGCTGTCGTTGTTTATCTCCTGTCTAGCAGGTTACTTGATTGGATTTCCTGGGGAGCCTGGCCAATCTTTTGTAATGATAAATACTTAGTTCCTGGGCCAGGTCACAGGCTCACACCCTATTCGTATCTTAAATGTGCCCTTAAGACAGGATTTGTGAGGAAAGAGACAATGGGGAGGCTTTTCCATTTTGACCTTGCAGAGAAAACATTTGCTCAGTTTAGGAATCAAAATGGTTCCAGGTTGGCCTTCCTGTGCTGATCTATGTACGTGCTTGGTTGGTACGCTCATGAACGTTACCATATATCGAAGACTTCAAAATTCAAAATTCCTATTCCCAAGGACTCCCAGTACGCAACTGTGAATGAAGTTGGATTCACTGTAATATTTCTTGCTTGAGAACAAGTAATTTACTCCCTGCCGAGTTTTCTCTTAAAAGTTTTGAGAGCTGAACGAGTCTGTCTCTGTGTTAATATGTAATGGGAAGGAATGTTTGTTAAGTAGGTTGGTCACCAGGCAGGAGGAAGGGAGCTCTCCTTACTGCATTGACAGAGGTGCTTAAATCAGAATTTGGAGGTCAAATGTGGTAACGAGTCACTGGCCCTTCTTCTGCGCCTTGGGTTAAAAAAGGCAGTTGGCGTCATTAAACACACTTCCAGATCTTCACTTACACAATTAGCTCTGGGAAATGGGACTCGCTCACCACATCAGTACTTTGGTCTACAACCTAGCCGTGACTAGGGAGCTGCTATGTTTTTTGCAACATTAAATATTCCTAGATGTAGGAGAGCGTTTTTCTATGACAAAGTTCTGTGCTTTGCCATCTTTGTGGAAGGGTGATTTTGTGGGATAACCAGTCTCGTGTCACCAACGTGCTTAAGTCCAAGGAATGCATGAAGGGGTTAATGCCATAGAGTAAGCTGTCCTGCCAGGCTTAGCTATGCCACTTCCCCTTTCCTTGGAGGGAAATTGGTAATCAAGCCTTTGATCACCTCTAGTCTACAGAAATGTGAGACGCCCCATCAGTCTTGGCATTCTGCCTGCTCTTGTTTAGGGAAGAATTCCCCTGAATTTGAACTTCCTTGTCCTAGTTGAACCATTTTAATGTTTATACCTTTTAACTGGGGTGGGTTCTTTTGGTATATTTTCATTATGTGTGGCTTTTAAGATTGATTTTGTACTTGTAAACTGCTTAAAAGCCATTTTGGCACATTAATTCATAATACAGTGGTACCTCGGGTTACAGACGCTTCAGGTTATGCATTTTCAGGTTGCGCACCACGCTGAACCCGGAAGTACCGGAACAGGTTACTTCCGGGTTTCGGCGCTTCTGCGCATGTGCAGAACCACTAAATCGTGCTTTGCACATGCGCAGAAGCGCCGAATCGCGACCTTCATGTGCGCAGATGTGGCGCTGCAGGTTGCGAACTTTGCGAGTTGCGAACATGCCTCCCGCATGGATCACGGTCACAACTGGATCACGAGGTTCCACTGTAACTTGGCTGAGGTATGCTAGACTGAGCAATAGCGACTGGCTGAAAATCTCCCTGTGAGCTTCACAAGCGAGTGAGGATTTGAACCCAGATCTCCCTCATTTTACACTCTCTCCATTCTGTTACACCGCTGTGAAGCAAAATATGTATCTCCTCTGTGGGCCTGAAAATTCAAGAATTCTGATCTTGACTGTGGGTGATTCTTCATCCTGTATGTTTTGGAACACAATTAGATTCGAGGTTTGGAGTCAGGGTGTGAAAAGCTTACAATCCTGTTTTTCTGTTTGGCTGGATTTTAGGCTCCCACCAGTAAGCCAAGAGGTATAGAACAGATGTTGGCAGACTCTATCAATCATTCAAGGAAGTACGGCTTGCGGCAGGTAAGGAAACAGTGTGGGTTTATGGAAGCAACTGCATTTTGCCTGTATTCACTGTTGTCTCCTGGTCTCAGAATCATAGAATTGTAGAGTTGGAAGGGACCCTGAGGGTCATCTAGTCCAACCCCCTGCAATGCAGGCATCGCCTAGAGATATAAGCCATGCTTCTGAATGCGAATCAAATCATGAGACAAGTGTGATCTTAAATACCCCCCACCCCAAGGCCCTTAAATTGGGATGCGGCACATTTAGCAGGTGCCTCGCAGGAGGGACGCGGGTGGCGCTGTGGGTAAAAGCCTCAGCGCCTAGGGCTTGCCGATTGAAAGGTCGGCAGTTCGAATCCCCGTGGCGGGGTGCGCTCCCGTTGCTCGGTCCCAGCGCCTGCCAACCTAGCAGTTCGAAAGCACCCCCAGGTGCAAGTAGATAAATAGGGACCGCTTACTGGCGGGAAGGTAAACGGCGTTTCCGTGTGCTGCGCTGGCTCGCCAGATGCAGCTTTGTCACGCTGGCCACGTGACCCGGAAAGTGTCTCCGGACAGCGCTGGCCCCCGGCCTCTTGAGTGAGATGAGCGCACAACCCTAGAGTCAACCCTGCTACACGATGTAGGTAAATCGTGTCAATGCTCAGTGCTCAGCCATTGCAGGACTTTGGGGCGTGGCCACTTCTCAGAGATTTCCGCTTTAATTTAAAGAAGAAGCAGAAGCCCTGGAACAGACTAGCTTCTCACACTTAGTAGACCATGGGTAGGCAAACAAAGGCCCGGGGGCCAGATCCGGCCCATTCGCCTTCTAAATCTGGCCCACGGACGGTCCGGGAATCAGCGTGTTTTTACATGAGTAAAATGGGTTATTTGTGGGTCATAATAATAATAATAATAATAATAATAATAATAATAATAATAATTTATTTGTACCCCGCCCATCTGGCTGGGTTTCCCCAGCCACTCTGGGCAGCTTCCAACAAAGATTAAAAATACATTAAAATGTCACACATTAAAAACTTCCCTGAACAGGGCTGCCTCCAGATGTCTTCTAAATTATCAGGTAGTTGTTTATCTCTGACATCTGATGGGAGGGCATTCCACAGGGCGGGCGCCACTACCAAGAAGGCCCTCTGCCTAGTTCCCTGTAGCTTTGCTTCTCGCATTGAGGGAACTGCCAGAAGGCCCTCTGCGCTGGACCTCAGTGTCCGGGCAGAACGATGGGGGTGGAGACGCTCCTTCAGGTATACTGGACCGAGGCCGTTTTGGGCTTTAAAGGTCAGCACCAACACTGAATTGTGCTTGGAAATGTACTGGGAGCCAATGTAGGTCTTTCAAGACCGGTGTTATGTGGTCTCAGTGGCATAGGAATTCATTCATTCCCCCCAAAAAATATAGTACAGCCCCCCCCCCAAGGTCTGAGGGACAGTGGACTGGCCCCCTGCTGAAAAAGTTTGCTGACCTCTGTAGTAGACCTTAGCAACTAATAGACATGGACAGGCACCTCCCAACATCTTCAGCAGTTGGTGCCAAGCTAGACCTTTTGCAAAATCGCCGTTAAAAGTGGTGTATGAAAGGCATTGGGACGCGGGTGGTGCTGTGGGTAAAACCTCAGTGCCTAGGACTTGCCGATCGTATGGTCGGTGGTTCGAATCCCCGCGGTGGGGTGAGCTTCCATCGTTCGGTCCCAGCTCCTGCCCACCTAGCAGTTCGAAAGCGCCCTTAAGTGCAAGTAGATAAATAGGTACCGCTTTATAGTGGGAAGGTAAATGGCGTTTCCGTGTGCTGCGCTGGTGCTGGCTCGCCAGCTGCAGCTTCGTCATGCTGGCCACGTGACCCGGAAGTGTCTTTGGACAGCGCCGGCTCACGGCCTCTAGAGCGAGATGAGCACGCAACCCCAGAATCGGTCACGACTATCCAGTTTAATAAAGTAGTTTTGTAGTGCGCCCAATAACCCACAAAATCTGTTTGACCAGACAGAGTGTGTGTGTGTGTGTGCATGTTTATATGTGCACCCTGAGAGCAAAGCTGCCACTTAATGAATAGTTTTTAAGAAATCTTACAATGTCATCTGTCACCAAATCCTTTGTATCTGGAGTGGTTTCATTTGTTTTCAAACCACCTCGCACCAAGGGCGAAAATCCTTTTAAAGCCTTTACAGTAACAAGCCTTACAGAATAGAATACTAGAATCCTACAACTATAGAGTTGGAAGGGTTTTCCAACCCCCTGCAATGTAGCTGCTGAATAGATATTATATATTTATCTTCCCCGACAGGGACTCGAGGCAGCTGACAGATAAAAATAAGAACAGCTAAAAAGATTAAGAGAAAAAACACAATCATTAAAAAAGAATTAAACATGGATATAATTAAAACTCGTGTGTGTGTTTGTAACAGACAGACAAACACAACCAAAACAGCCCAGCACCAGCCCCCGCATTAAAAGCATTCAGTTTCCAAGAGTATTGGAACAGGAAAGTCTTCAGCTTCCAGAGGAAGGAAAGACAGCAAGGAGGGAGCCAGTCTAGCTTCTCTCGGGAGAGAATTCCAAAATTTGGGAGCAGCCACCAAGAAGGCCCTATCCCGTTTCCCTGCCAAGCATGCCTGGATAAACTTGTCCATCTAAAACTGGAAATTATCCCTTATTTCAGGGATAGCCAACACATTGTTGGCCAGAGGTTATTAGAGTAATTCCCATCAGCCCCTGCTTGCATGGTCAGTGGGGCAGAGATGCTGGTCATTTGCAACCACAGCATGTTGGAGGGACCATGTTGGCAGGCCCTGTTTTATTTGCCAGACGCCTGCCATTAAAAGTGCAGCTCAAGGGAAAAGATATTCCACCATCCTGTTGCATTTCTGAATCATCGAGTTGGGCAAAGGCTCATTTAGACGGTTGCTCAACGGTGTCCCTTGGCCCTAAAGATTAGTCAGGCGACAAATTTTGATCAGTGACTAAAGCTTTTGTCGACTCATCTGCCAATCACCTTATTAGAAGAAGTTTATGACCCTTATCAGAGGGATTGCTGAACTGCTCATTACCTGTAAATATGATTGCCATGCAGGAAGTAGATAGGTTCACACTAAACAAAATACTTTGTGTGTGTGTATGACAGAGGAAAGAAGAGGAAATGAATACAATCGTGAATGACACCAGAGCACAAGAAGTGACCCTGAATCGCACCTACGAGTCAATGGAGAAGTTGGACAAGGAAGATCCTGTTTGGTTGGAAACTCGTAAGCCCCTGTTAGATCTCTTATGTGGTGATGCCTATCAGATTAAACTTAGGACCCACTTGCATGATCCATTCAAAGCAGTATCATTCCACTTTGCACACGCCTGGCTTTCCCTAAAGAATCCTAGGAACTGTATTTGCTAAGAGCTACAATTCTCAGAGTGGCTGAACAGCCAGCCCCTCTTTGCAGGAGCTTTAAGCAGGTAATGTGTACACAGCCTAAGGCTCCTGTTTGTTCTTTTTGCTTATTTGCAAACTAGCAGCGCAGAGATCGGAAACGGAGACATAAAAATATGAGCAAGCCACCTCCTTTGCTGAATAACTTGTACAGTGGTACCTTGGGTTAAGTACAGTACTTAATTCGTTCCAGAGGTCCAGTCTTAACCTGAAACGGTTCTTAACTTGAAGCACCACTTTAGCTAATGGGGCCTCCTGCTGCTGCTGCATCACCGGACCATGATTTCTGTTCTCATCCTGAAGCAAAGTTCTTAACCTGAAGCGCTATTTCTGGGTTAGCGGAGTCTGTAACCTGAAGCATATGTAACCTGAAGCGTATGTAACCCGAGGTGCCACTGTACAGTGGATGCTCGGGTTGCGAACGTGATCTGTGCAGGAGGCACGTTCGCAACCCGCAGTGTTCGCAACCCGCAGCACTGCATCTGCGCACGTGTGGGCTGCGATTTGGAGCTTCTGCGCATGCACAAAGCACGATTTAGCACTTCTGCGCATGTGTGAGTGTTGAAACCCGGAAGTAACCCGTTCCGGTACTTCCAGGTTTCGACGTGTCCATAACCCGAAAACGCGCAACCTGAAGCGTCTGTAACCCGAGGCATGACTGTACTAAAATACTCCACTCCTGTCACCAACCCTTATATTACAAAAGGAACAAAAGCCTATCCTGAATTTAATCTGGCAAGAAGCTGCTGGTGTTTGTCAGCCTCAGGCTTGCACTGCTTTGGTTCAGCAGCTTGCTTTCCGTTGCAGCTGTTCATCACACACACTGCTGCCACACGCTGTTGTTTTTTCCTGTATTTCCTGAATCCTGGGGAAATTCCATTGCGAGGTTACCTTGGTCTGACTGGAGACAAGGAGAGGGACTTGAAGGTCTCAGAGAAGTTTGCTTGCAGCCTGCATCTGTTGCACCTTCGTGTTTACCAAGTCACCAAAGAGATGCAGTTGGAAATAAAAGCACAATATTTGAAATATTTTTTAAAATGCGGAGTGACAGACCTGCAACGACAACAGCCATTGCAAATTCTTTTGTCCCAATGTTACCTCTGGTTAAACAGAGGTCTTGAAACAACTGCAAAAACCTGCCAAACCAGAGTCAAAAGTGAGTGCTTGCGCCATCTGTTTTTTCAAAACAACTTTGACTCTTTCAGGCAGGCAAAGGTCTTTCTCTGGCTTTTCCTTCCTCCTTGAAGAATTTTGTCAGCTTCTTCTGCATTGCCCGGGAGGCGGCGCTGAGGGGTGAGCCCCATCATTGCAGGCAGCAATGCAGACAGATGAGGAATGAAGAGACTAGACTTAGGATATCAGAATGTGAAAAAGGCCGCAGCTTTATTGACTGGCACGAGGATCTAGGAATTTAATCACATTAAAATCCTGTTTAAATAGTGTTTCAGCTTATTGCTGCCAGACTGGAATTGGCTCGATACTGGAGAGATTCAAGTCGATTAACAGGAGAGAGCTGGTTACAGCAGGCTCTGGAGAATAGCTATAGCAGGAAAAATTAATGCATAACTAAAAGGTGGCCGGGGGGAGGGTTGTGTGCTAGATTCCTCCTCTGAATAGCTGTGCCTTATTCAATAAACTAGGAAACATGGATTGGTCTTGACACCTACTGCCCGCATTTAATAGGCTCTGGGGGAGAGAGCGATGGATGTGCAGAGCTCTGCATTGGCAGGAGCAGTTAGAGATACGAGTTGGTGATCAAGAGGGAAACTGTTTTGTGCTGGACTGGGCGTTCAAATTCTGTGATGTTTTCTCTCTGGGCTTGTAGCCAACTTGTAGCTAATAATAATAATAATAATAATAATAATAATAATAATTTATTATTAATAGCCCACCCATCTGGCTGTTTCCCCAGCCACTCTGGGCGGCTTCCAACCGAATATTAAAAACAATACAGCATCAGACATTAAAAACTTCCCTAAACAGGGCTGCCTTCAGATGTCTTCTAAAAGTCAGATAGTTGTTTATTTCCTTGGCATCTGGTGGGAGGGCGTTCCACAGGGCGGGTGCCACTACCAAGAAGGCCCTCTGCCTGGTTCCCTGTAACCTCACTTCTTGCAGTGAGGGAACCGCCAGAAGGCCCTCGAAGCTGGACCTCAGTGTCTGGGCAAAACGATGGGGGTGGAGACGCTCCTTCAGGTATACTGGACCGAGGCCGTTTAGCGCTTTAAAGGTCAGCACCAACACTTTGAATTGTGCTCGGAAACGTACTGGGAGCCAATGAAGATCTTTCAGTGTTATATGGTCTCGGCAGCCGCTCCCAGTCACCAGTCTAGCTGCCACATGCTGGATTAATTGCAGTTTCCGAGTCACCTTCAAAGGTAGCCCCACGCAGAGCGCATTGCAGTAGTTCCCCAAAGGTGCCAAAATGTCTTTGACCAGATCTAGACAATAACAACAACAACAACAACAATAATTTATTTATACCCCACCCATCTGGCTGGGTTCCCCAGCCACTCTGGCCGGCTTCCAACAGAACACTAAAATACAATAACCTATTAAACATTAAAAGGTTCCCTAAACAGGGCTGCCTTCAGATGTCTTCTAAAAGTCTGGTAGTTATTTTTCTCTTAGGCTAGACTGTTGCCAGCATGTGGCTGTCCGGCCTTTGCTTGTAGACTTCCAGAGAGGCAGAGCCCACCACTCCTGTAGGCAATTGTACTGAACTGTACAATAATAGAGTTGGAAGGGACCCCGAGTCCAACCCCCTGCGATGCAGGAATCTGAGCTAAAGCATCCATGACAAATGACCACCCAACCTCTGCTTAAAAACCTCCAGTGAAGCAGAGCCCACCACCTCTCGCGGGAGTCTGATCCACTGTCAGACAGCTCCTCCTGAAGTTCAGTCAGAATCTCCTTTCTCGTCACTTGAAGCCATGGGTTCGAGTCCTGCCCGCCGGAGCAGGAGAAAACAAGCTTGCTCCACCTTCCATTCAACGGCCCTTTATATATTTGAAGATGGTTATAATATCTCCAGGGGACGTGGGTGGCGCTGTGGGTTAAACCACAGAGCCTAGGGCTTGCTGATCAGAAGGTCGGCGGTTCAAATCCCCGCGACGGGGTGAGCTCCCGTTGCTCGGTCCCTGCTCCTGCCAACCTAGCAGTTCGAAAGCACATCAAAGTGCAAGTAGATAAATAGGTACCGCTCCGGCGGGAAGGTAAACGGAATTTCCGTGTGCTGATCTGGTTCACCAGAAGCGGCTTAGTCAGGCTGGCCACATGACCTGGAAGCTGTACGCCGGCTCCCTCGGCCAGTAAAGCAAGATGAGCACCGCAACCCCAGAGTTGGTCACGACTGGACCTAATGGTCAGGGGTCCCTTTACCTTTACCTTATAATATCTCCAGTGATTCGATCCAGTGGCAGATTGGCACATTTTTTTGTCTGTGCTGCTGCCCCCTCCCTTTCCTGCAGGTTCGCGCAAGGACTTCCTTCTCTTGACACAGGCAGCCCTGGTGTGAGGAGGGGACATGAAGGAGAGAAAGTCTTTCCTAAATGTGCTGTAAATGTTTGATGTGTACACAGCCTGATTATGCCCCAGAATGTATGTGTGTATATGTAAGCCTCCCACTTCCCCAAGAAAAGGGGGACCCCAAAGGCTGTACAACTTCGTGTTGTACCGCCTCCCTTCCCCTGGTGTGTGAATCTGAGGCTCAGAGTCTTGGCACCAAGAAACGCCCATATTAAAAAGCCATGAGCAAACAGCTGTGCAAACAGAGGCAAAGCCAACTTTCCTTTCTGAAACTGAAGGAGGCTCAGAAACACACCTCAGTTGGCTAAAACACAGCAACAAACTGACTGTTGAGTTGCGCTCCAACCTGCTCCTCAAAATGATGCCAAATCTCTCTTTCTCTCTCTCTCTCTCGTATTAAATTTTCTGTTTTACAATTTAAAGTACTCGTTTTACACCCTTAAAATATCAATGACTTCCCTTCTTCTCTTTCCATGGTTCACTTTACATATCATAAATCCCTCCATATTTTACAAAAACTATACCAATCAGTATTCCATTATTGCATCCATCAACACTTATTTACACTGTTGAATTTATCTTAACGCTGCCAGCGTTTTCACCTGTACACAATTATTTCCCATATATTCAATAAACATTTCCCAGCCTTCTTTAAACGTATGTTCTTCTTGTTCTCTTATTCTATATGTTAAATCTGCAAGTTGTGCATATTCTGTCAGCTTAAGTTGCCATTCTTCTTTGGCTGGGACCTTGCTCATTTTCCATTTTTGGGCTAACAAAACGCGGGCTGCAATTGTAGCATACATAAATAACCTTTTCTAACACCTGGGAATTTCAGTCTGAATTATCCCCAACAGAAAGGATTCTGGGTTTTTTAGGAAAGTACTTTTAAACACCCCCCCCAATTCATTATAGATCTTTCCCTATTACTCTTTTACCCTTTTACAAGTCCACCACATATGAAAGAACATTGCCTCCACATACATACGCTTCAGGTTACAGACTCCGCTAACCCAGAAATAGTACCTTGGGTTAAGGACTTTGCCTCAGGATGAGAACAGAAATCACACAGCGGCAGCAGGAGGCCCCATTAGTTAAAGTGGTGCTTCAGATTAAGAACAGTTTCAGGTTAAGAACGGACCTTTGGAACGAATTAAGTACTTAACCCGAGGTACCACTGTAATGTATTCATCATTAACTTGGGGTGTGTATACTTGATTCTGACTAAACTAAGCCTCCATGGGCTTCGTTCATTCCTTGGTGTCCCCAACCAAAAGGATAGCAGATAGCAGATCTGGGAAAGACCTCTGGAGAACTACCACGAAACCACAGCAGTCAGCACCAAGCTGGGTTCAGTACAAATCCCCATTCTCATTGCCAAATCAAGCTCCACCTGTAATTTTGCTCTGCCTCCCTTTCTTTCCCCTTTTGTGCATGTTGAGATTTCAGCCGCTGGACCCAGTGGCTCGGGCGCCTGGGGTGAGGCGAGCTGCCCATAGGGGCGGAGTGCAGCACAGGGCCTCCGGAGTCTGCCTGCCTCCTCCCATTCAGCCGCCCTACAGCTGGGGGGGAGGCAGCAGGCGGACCATTTGGACAGCGCGGAGCGTGCGCGCACCCAAGCCACCATGTCTCTCCCAGGAGAGATGCGTGGCTCAGGTGTGCTGCAGGCCCTGCAGTGAGTGCCGCCCGCCATTTTGTCACCCCCCTCAGTGGTGACACCCGGGATGGTCCACACCCACCTTCCTCCGCCCCTGTCTGGACCTCCACCCAAGAGCAAATAACAACCTTCTCTTTCCTGTTTCAGTGGAACGGGCAAAAGCAGCCGATGAAAGGCGGCGCTCCCTCGCCCGACAGGCCCGGGACGACTACAAGAGGCTGTCGTTGCAAGGAACCCGCAAAGGAAAAGTGGCGGGGGTCTCCATGGTTTTTAAGACAGGGGAGCAGAAACGGCCGCTTCCTCCTCCTCCTCTGCCACCGAAACCTAAGCATCTCAGTGCCGGAATGACCAACGGCAAACCAGACAGGTTAGTAACCCTGAAGGCTTTGACTAAGTCGGTAGGGTGAGGAGGTGAGGAGGGGAAGGCCAAGGGAGAACTCAGAAAGGAAACCTGAATTGTTCTTCCTCCTGTTGAGTCCTTTCCTCCTGGCCACACTCTGTATATATCTATATGGATAATGAAGCTGTGCAATTGGCTTTTAAAATGCAATTCTGGGACATAAAAGGTAAAGGGACCCCTGACCATTAGGTCCAGTCGTGACTGACTCTGGGGTTGCGGCGCTCATCTCGCTTTATTGGCCGAGGGAGCCGGCGTACAGCTTCTGGGTCGTGTGGCCAGCATGACTAAGCCGCTTCTGGCGAACCAGAGCAGCGCACGGAAACGCCATTTACCTTCCCGCCAGAGCGGTACCTATTTATCTACTTGTACTCTGACGTGCTTTCGAACGGCTAGGTTGGCAGGAGAAGGGACTGAGCAACGGGAGCTTATCCCGTCGCAGGGATTCGAACCGTCGACCTTCTGATCGACAAGTCCTAGGCTCTGTGGTTTAAGCCACAGCGCCACCCGCGTCCTGGGACATAGTTCAGCTATATCAGGCTTGAACGCACCTGAATGTGACTAGCTGAGGTGACTGACGCCTCTAGCCATCCAGCAGGAGTGTTTCTGTGCGAAAAAGGCCAGTGGGAGTTATTTTGACGCGGCCTGGCACACTTCCTAGAGTTATACAAAAAGCCACAGTAGGCCATATGAAGGAAGAAACAGCTATGTTGGCAGAGGGCTGGTGATGAGTGGGCAGGCTGGGTTTTTCCTGGAGCACGTCTAAAGCACACAGTGTTTACATGTCAATGACACACAATTAAATGCCCATGAGACCTAAATGAATCCAATATATATATATAAGGAAAATCAAAGCCAATAAAAAACCTTAAAGGGGAATGAGAATGTTTCTTACCTGAAGTAAATTGGGGGACGTGTTGAACAGTCTTTACTAACCTGCTGCCCTCCAAATGTTTTGGGGTACAGCTCCTGTCAATCCCAGCCAGAATGAGCACTCTTTGAATCTTTGGCCTTACTAGTGGTGGCCCCATGCCTGCTGCCAACTCCTGCAGCTCCTTGGAAATGCTGCCCTGACTCTTCTGGGCCTCATGAAAGGGAGCAAGGAGAAGGGTCAACTCCCTTTGCTTGCCTCATCTTCTTATTGCTTGGCTGGACAAATAGATGGGTCCCAAATTAAAGAAAGGAAGCAAGGGGTCATTGCTGGTGGTGAGAAGTCAGAAGAGAGTTTGGTTCAGCCCTTGTGACAAGACTCCTAGAAGGGCATCTGGCCCAAGTATCCTCCAAAACATCTATAACAGGCACACTTTATTCTAAATCGTGATTTGCATTTTTGTAAAGGAGTGCAATGGCACTGAACTTAAATCCAGTGCAAAGATCGTAATCTGCTCCCCGCTTCTTTCTCTCTTTTTTATTGCGACAACAGGAAGCAGGCAGTACAAAGGACTGTCTCCACTGCTACTCAGGAGGCCATCATTCGGTGGTTCAAGGAAGAGCAGCAACATCTCCAAGCTGGTTTTGAGAAATCCACGGGCCAGGTAGCACCTTGGTTCCATGGTGAGTACTTGGTCTTCCTGCCTTTCATAGGGCAAGGGAGCCCAAGCTAAGGACCATTGTGTCAGGAATGAGCCAGCTCCCAGCAAAGATTTACAGCCAACTGCAGCAAGCAGCCAGGAACAGAGAGGCTCAGATGTTAGTCAGGCAGGGGAGAGCTGACAACTGCAGACTTCGGCTCTGCCTGACCTTGACGAGCAGACTGATAAGACAGTAGGGGAGAGCAGGCTAGAACACAGTCAAAGCTCACAGGAAGCACAAACAGGAGCGAATAGATCCAGAGACAGCCTCTCAGATCAAGAAGAGGGTGGGGCTGAGCCCCTAAGTCCGAGGAGTTGGCGAATGGGAGGGCAGCTAGATTGGAAACAAAACAAGAGACGTAAGAGTCGTAAGTTCAATGTCTTCTGTCGCAGCCGGAAGGAGTCTTCAGAAGGGTCATCTTGAGTAATGATGCCAGAGGCTTTGTCAGAGCTGTCCGGAGCTATCTGTTTGTTTTTGCAATATATCCTCCTTTTTAATTACCTACGCTTACTGTGTTATCAAGCTGGGAACCTGGACTCCTGACACACTGCAAGACGGGGCATTTGTAGGTTTCTTGATACTAGCATATGCTCAGCCTTCCTTAACGCTGTTGTCTCTCCCAGTGGCGTAGCGTGGGTTGTCAGCACCCGGGGCAAGGCAAGTAATTTGCGCCCCCTAACCCGTGGATTTGTGCCCCCTAACCCGTGGATTTGCGCCCCCTAACCTGTGGATTTGCCCTAACCCCAGGTGTTGCGCCCGGTGCGGCCGCCCCCCCCCTGCACCCCCCACGCTACGCCACTGGTCTCTCCCATGACCCAAATGTAGGCTGTGAGCTCCTTGGGGTAAGGTAAAGGTACCCCTGCCCGTACGGGCCAGTCTTGACAGACTCTGGGGTTGTGCGCCCATCTCACTCAAGAGGCCGGGGGCCAGCGCTGTCCGGAGACACTTCCGGGTCACGTGGCCAGCGTGACATCGCTGCTCTGGCGAGCCAGAGCCGCACACGGAAACGCCGTTTACCTTCCCGCTAGTAAGCGGTCCCTATTTATCTACTTGCACCCGGGGGTGCTTTCGAACTGCTAGGTTGGCAGGCGCTGGGACCGAACAACAGGAGCGCACCCCGCCGCGGGGATTCGAACCGCCGACCTTTCGATCAGCAAGCCCTAGGCGCTGAGGCTTTTACCCACAGCGCCACCCGCATCCTTGGGGTAGGCACATCTTTTTCGCTTATATTACACCATAAATTAAGTGCCCTGGACACTGCATCGATGAACAATCCCAGATAGCCTCTGTGAACCATTCACAGCTGCCACGCCTCTCGTAGGAATCATTCCCATGTATCCATTGGTTCATCAGGAAGTTAGGGTGCTCGCTTTCTGCATAAGAATTTTGGGATGGGAACAAATCCCATTAACAGTGTAGCCATGTAACACATGGTGAACTAACAAAAAAAGTGGGATTTCATTAAATATTCCTTGCTTTCGCGATTGGGTTCCAGAGATGACCAACCAGACTCAGCAGGGATCTTGGAAGTGGTCAAAATTATGAGCCAAGGGTTCGTCCAGGTTTATCGTAGTGGGAGATGGGAATAAGGTGTTCTCTCTTTTGTTTTGGAAACAGCAAGGGAAGCAGCAAGGCACAAGCCCTATGGCACCCCATTTTGTTTTTCTGTCCAGCAGGTGTATTGACACACATGGCTTTCACTTAATCCAGCAGTGTTTAGGGAGGCCACGAAAGAGGTTTTTCAACAGTAAGTAGGTGCAGAGTTAGGGGGTGGCGCTGTGGGTTAAACCACAGAGCCTAGGACTTGCCGATCAGAAGGTTGGCGGTTCGAATCCCCGCAATGGGGTGAGCTCCCGTTGCTCAGTCCCTGCTCCTGCCAACCTAGAAGTTCGAAAGCACGTCAAAGTGCAAGTAGATACCGTATTTTTCGCTCTATAACACGCACCTGACCATAACACGCACATCGTTTTTAGAGGAGGAAAACAAGGGAAAAAACATTCTGAATGAAACAGTGGATGTATCATTTTTGTGCTTCATGCTGTGGCCACAGACATGTGATCTAATGGTGAATTTGGGGTGACCCAATGCAAAGATCCTGAGAATCCCTGTGGATCCATGCTTTGTAACCACGTTTTTGCACCATTGCAGCCCCAGGCAACAGTGGGTGCGTGCTTTTTTTGGTGCAGGCTGTAGCCATGGACATGCTATGTGATCTGATGGTGAATTTGGGGTGACCCAATGCAAAGATCCTGAGGATCCATGTGGATCCATGCTTTTTAACCATGTTTTTGCAACATTGCAGCCCCAGGCAACAGTGGGTGCGTGCTTTTTTTGGTGCAGGCTGTAGCCATGGACATGCTATGTGATCTGATGGTGAATTTGGGGTGACCCAATGCAAAGATCCTGAGGATCCATGTTGATCTATGCTTTGTAACCACATTTTAAGTGGGGAGCGAAGGAAAAACAAAGAAGGGACATGAGAGGGGTGTGCAGAGAAGCAGCTGGCTAAGAATGCTGGAGAGGGATTTAACGGGTGGGAGGCAAAATTTCCCCCCCAAGCCAGCCATCTCTCTCTCTCTCTCTCTCTCTCTCTCTCTCTCTCCCTCTCTCTCCCTCTCCCTCTCCCTCTCCCTCCCCCCTCTCCCTCTCCCTCCCCCACTCTCTCTCCCTCTCCCCCAGCAGTACCGGAGCACAGAGACTACACTTTCCCCTCTGCTTGCCTGGAGGGGAGGGGCTTTCCCTGCTCTTTGTTCCGTTTCAGCAATCACAGCAACGAAACAGAGGAGGGTGGGCAGTAAGACCCTGAGGCAGAATACAGGAAAGCTGCCACTTCCTCTTTTCAGGTTTCCCTTCTCCGTGACTCGCGATTTGACTTTTGCTTGATTTTTTGGCTCCAGGGACCACACATTCGCTCCATAACACGCACAGACATTTCCCCTTCCTTTTTAGGAGAAAAAATCTGCGTGTTATAGAGGGAAAAATACGGTAAATAGATACCGCCAACAAAATAGATACCGCCAACATCAAAGATAGAGCACATCTTTCAAGGCATACCTCCGTCGCTGTTTCCCTCATCTGTTATGATATCCAACAACCTCTCAAAGGCATTTTCAAAAGCGACTATTTTCTGGATGGCTGCATTACTTTTTGTCAACTGCTGAAGTAACAAGACACCCTGAGGGAGAAAAAGGCAGACAGAAGTGACCAGCAAAACTTTAACTCTGTAAAAAAACCGGTTTCTTTAAATCAGGGGTCAGCAAACTTTTTCAGCAGGGGGCCGGTCCACTGCCCCTCAGACCTTGTGGGGGGCCGGATTATATTTTTTGGGGGGAAATGAACGAATTCCACTGCCCCATAAATAACCCAGAGATGCATTTTAAATAGAAGCACAAATTCTACTCATGTAAAAACACTCTGATTCCCAGACGTTCGCGGGCGTTTAGAAGGCGAATGGGCTGGATTTGGGCCTTAGTTTGCCTATCCATGGGGACGCGAGTGGTGCTGTGGGTTAAACCACAGAGCCTAGGACTTGCCGATCAGAAGGTTGGCGGTTTCGAATCCCCGCGATGGGGTGAGCTCCCGTTGCTCAGTTCCTGCTCCTGCCAACCTAGAAGTTCGAAAGCACGTCAAAGTGCAAGTAGATAAATAGGTACCGCTCTAGCGGGAAGGTAAACGGCGTTTCCGTGCGCTGCTCTGGTTCGCCAGAAGTGGCTTAATCACATGACCTGGAAGCTGTACACCGGCTCCCTTGGCCAATAAAGCGCGATGAGCGCCGCAACCCCAGAGTCGGTCACGACTGGACCTAATGGTCAGGGGTCCCTTTACTTTACCTAGGTGCAGAGTTAAGCTGGGAAAAGTGGTCTGATGACTAATGGGATCTTGAACCAGCCAGGTCACTGAATAGGCTGGGAGCTGGTCCACTATATTAGAGAAGATTTGACAGCATCTTTCCAATGTGCAGCAAGCCAGCAAATAGTTTTCTCTTGTTTCATTTTTGGGGCAGGCATTTTAACCACCAAGAAAGCAGAAGAACTTCTAAGCGGTTTGGCACCTGGGAGCTTCCTGATCCGGGTCAGTGAAAAGATCAAAGGCTACGTCCTCTCGTATTTGTCGGCCAAAGGCTGCAAGCACTTCCTGATAGACGCTTCCGGGGATTCGTACAGCTTCCTGGGTGTGGATCAGCAGCAGCATTCAACGTTAGCTGACCTGGTCGATTACCACAAGGTCCGCCTCTCGTAATGCTCAACTTCCCCACCACCACCTCATTCTATGACTATGTTGAAGCTTCTTGGTGCACAAAATTTTATTTCGCAGGACTTAATGCAAAGTTAGGTGTCCTGTAAGTGTTATTGGTTGGGACCATAGCTGTCAATGATTCCCTATTTTAAAAGGGAAATTCCCTCATTCCAAATATGATTCCTCGCAAGCCAAGGGAAAAGTTGACAGCTATGGTTGAGATGCAGGCAGTGGCGTAGCGTGGGGGGTGCAGGGGGGGCCGGCCGCACCGGCCGCAACATCTGGGGAGAGCGCGCGCTTGCACTCACAGCTCTCTGCCCCTACCTGGCAGGGGCGCAAATTACTTGCCTTGCCCCGGGTGCTGACAACCCACGCTACGCCACTGGATGCAGGTGGCGCTGTGGTGGTGTAAACCACTGAGCCTTGGGCTTGCCGATTGGAAGGTTGGCGGTTCGAATCCCCGTGACGGGGTGAGCTCCCGTTGCTCGGTCCCTGCTCCTGCCAACCTAGCAGTTCGAAAGCATGCCAGTGCAAGTAGATAAATAGGTACCTCTCCGGCCGGAAGGTAAATGGCTTTTGCGTGTGCTGCTCTGGTTCACCAGAAGCGGCTCAGTCATGCTGGCCGCATGATCCGGAAAAACTGTCTGCGGACAAACATTGGCTCCCTCGGCCAGTAAAGCGAGATGAGTGCCACAACCCCAGAGTCGTTCACGACTGGACTTAACTGTCTGCAACTGCTTTTTAAAATGTTTCCGAATTTATTATCTTTGGTGCAAAGTGGATGATGAAAACTGAAAGAGAAGAATGTCTGTGCACCACTTTTATATGAAACAATACCCACCCACCCCACAAAAAGGAGGTGTAGATCTCCAGACACACAAAGCAAAAAAGCATGGCTGCTTGTTTATTCCAGGATTTCACTCGCGGGAATGTAGATGTCTTGTGTATTATATGTTGTCTTAAAGCTGAGCTCAAATCCACTGGGCGAAGAGCCCCGCTTGATTGCTGTTTGAAATCAGATTTCTCTTTACCCCAAGCTAGACTGGTATGCTCAGCTACCTTAAATGCTGCTCATCTGCCTGCTTTGATAACCAGCCTGGATAGCTCAGCTGGTGAGAGAATGGTGCTGATAACACCAAGGTTGCAGGTTTGATCCCCGTAAGGGACAGCTGCATATTCCTGCATTGGTTAGAGTAGATCAGGGGTCAGCAAACTTTTTCAGCAGGTCCACTGTCCCTCAGACCTTGTGGGGGGCTGGACTATATTTTTTTTTGGGGGGGGTGAACAAATTCCTATGCCCCACAAATAACCCAGAGATGCATTTTAAATAAAAGGACACATTCTACTCATGTAAAAACATGCTGATTCCCAGACTGTCTGCGGGCCAGATTAAGAAGGCGATTCGGCCGGATCCGGCCCCCGGGCCTTAGTTTGCCTACCCATGGACTAGATCAGTGGTGTCCAAACTTTTTTCAAAGAGGGCCAGATTTGATGAAGTGAAGGGCTGTGAGGGCTGACCAAAGTTGTTGACCTTTTTTTAGGATTGAAGTTGTTTTTTTCGGATTTTACCCCAGGAAATAAACTGCCACAGGGGCTGGATTAAACCGACCAGTGGGCCGGATTAGGCCCCTGAAACAGATTTTGGACATGCCTGGACTAGGTGATGTTCAGGGTCCCTTCTTCCAGCTCTAGAATTCTATGGTTCTAAACTGATTGACCAGTTTCTAGTAGGAAATGAATGGCTGATTTTAGACCTCTGGAAGCTAAATTTGTACTGGCTTTCTTCCTCTTAGGAGGAGCCCATCACATCTTTTGGAAAAGAGATTCTGCGTTATCCCTGTGGCCAGCAAGGGGAGGAGCCAGACTACCTTGATCTTTTCGAGTGACGCCTGACATTTCCATCCTCTACCATGTGAAGAACTTCTCTTGAATGGATAGATGTGGAGTGGGCAGACGTTGACCCAGCTCCCTTCAGCTTTTACAATACCCTCGGAAACGGCGAAGTGATGGTGTGAGTACGTTTGGCTAATCGAGAAGTGAAATCTGGACAGCTGCCAGCAAGCGACAAGAAGATACAAAGGAACAGGAAGCAGAACCATAAAGAAAATAGCAAAAGAATAAATCTATTTTGAAAGATAATTACAGCAATTAAAACTTTCCATAGACACCTTTGTTCAGGCTGAACCCTGCCCTTGTGTGTTCCTGCTCAATCAGGTGACATAGAACATTTCCAAAGTGTAATTCGCATTTCCTGTAAATACTTGAAAGGGTTGTATTATTATTAGCGAAAGCCGCAAATGCAGAAATAGGGTTGTCTTCAGAATGGTGGGCCCTCTCTGCTCCCATTAGCCAGTGAATGGGGTCAAGAGCAGTAAGGCCACTGTTCGTATCTTCAAACTGCCTCCATTTCCTGCAATCAGACCCCGGTGAAATCATGTCCCTGGCTTATCGCCATTTTGTCTTTGGAGTTGTTGGGGGGGGGGTGCGCCTTTAAAACCTGCCAGTGTGTCACATCCATGCGGGATGGTTCTCCCAGTTTCAGCCCTCTCCAGAACTCGCTAGAAGCTCCATCTCTGCAGGTGGCAGGTGCTAAGTGAAGCCAAGTGACTCCAGCGTGCACAAAGGAAAATTTGTCCCCACGCTACACTGCTACCGTTTCCCCTTCGTTACTCCACAACCGCCCAGACAGACATACTACCTGCTTCGGCACCCAGTGCATTACAGACGGTTGCAGAGTAAATGACCAGCAGATAAAGAACCGTCCTTCGCAATGGATGCTCATGTGTTGCGGATGCAACGATGGGGACTTTGAATGCCGACTCTTGGTATGAAAATAGGGCTGCTAAAAAGGGGCATTGCTGTTTTTTGCTAGGGAATGTTAGGAGAAATGTTGCGGGGGTTTTTTAACCAAGCCCTCTCTCTGTAAAGGAATGGACTCATCCATTGCCTGAATCCCATTTTAATTGTGTTCTGCAGTTCACTGCGGAGGACCATCCTTTTTAGCCTCACACTTCCCCTGGGTCTAGAAAGCTGGGTCTGAGTGGTTTTGCATTTGCCCCACTGCTTTCCCCCAGAAAACCCGTGGTTTAGCACTGAATCGGGGGGGGGGGAAGTGTGGTTGGGCCCCCATTGTGCCTTCATGATTTGTGCTCATGATGGGATTGGCGAGGTTGTACTTGATTCCACTTCCAATACTGTTTGTGCCTCCAGATGTTTCAGGGTTAACACACTGCTTCCTTTCCAATCAGTGCACGTCCTGTAACTTTCTCCCGATGTCCTGTCACTTTTTGTACCAGAAATGTTCCAGTTTATTCTCTGTCCTGCTTTGGTAGAGCTATAGTACAAAGGGTGCCCCTCTAGACAGCAGCACTGCAGTACCACTGAGGAAGCATCGCAGAACGAATAATAAAGTGGAATTGTGTGTGGACGGTCCAGTATAAATCCATCACTAAATGCACTATTACTGAGTCAGTGACATGTTGCAGAACAAAAATACCGCTTGTCTGCAGGGGCCTGGAGTGAGAAACTCTGGATCAAGATTTGCCAAAATGAAAGGCAAAGTGGCTGAAATTTTAAGAGAGACTATTTGCCTTCTCTGTGCAGAATCTGGGCAAGGCTCCACTATATAGCCTTGCTTTTCAATTATCAGTATTATCTAATTGTTTGTACAGCTAGGTATGTCAGGAAATATATACCTTATATTTTCATCTGTGTCTGTATTTAAATGATGCTCTGTTTTAAAGGCTGGAACCTCAAACACGTAAGAGTAAGAAGAAAGCGGAATCCAAGTTGGCAAATATTAATGTCAAGTCATAGACAAAATCATTGTCTGTTAAATCCATCTCTCCCTAATTTCTCCAAACTGTATGAGGTTCAATTCAAGTCAGGACTGGTGCTTCTAGCTAAAAGCCCCTCTTGGCTTTACTGACCAATCCACCTGACAACCTTAGATCTATTCACAAAAACATTTCACCATTCCGTTAAATTGTGCTACATCTCAGCAGCTCTTTGCATGTTAAGTGTGTGCAAAGGGACACAAAACCCAAAGTGCGCTGTTGAGGACAAGCAAAGAATGATCATTGAGAGCACTCAAGGACAAGTGACCATATTATCTTTACTGACTCCACAGAAGTTCAGAAGATATGGCTTTGTGAGGCGTGTGGGTGGGTGTATATGAGAGAGAGAGAGAACGAATTTTGATAATGGTGTTGGCTTCCATACAGAGCTAATACATTCAACTTTCAGTGTTCGCTTTTAGCTGCTAGGAGTCATTAGATAAACATCTAAATGCTCTTCTGGCAAGAGAGCCCTGACCCACGCAACTGATCTGGATCCCAGTCATTCTGTTATGGTGCTTATCTGATAACCCCCCTTGAATTGGATTGGTGGCACACGTGGCCCAGATATATGTGCACATCCCCTATCTAGGGCCACTGGTTACTCACAACAACAGAGTCTAGGAAAAGACTGGATCGGGGCTATCGTCAGTAACCTCATTTCAGCATTACCTCTGTAAAGATCTCCCTGGGATTTCATTCAATCCAAGTTTATGAGCACCACGCTACCCATTTGATAAAATGTAAAGCTTTGTGTAATCCTATTGTAGCGTCAGTCAAAGTTGGAAAACCACCTTGTTTGTCCTTCAAATATCAAACCATTGAGGGGTTGGAGGGGAAGCTATTCTCCATGCCGTAATGGCATCACCCAGTGCTGCAATGTGGCACAGAGAAAAGACTACGGTGGTATCAAATAACCAAGAGAAGCATTTCCTCTCCTGCGAGTGTGGTTTTGGGAACAGCCTTCTGAGTCAGATTTTGAGGTTCTTGGTTTTTATCTCCGAGTAAGACCTCCTTTGGCTTCAAGACTTCTTATTGCTTGCTTTCTGCTTGCGCCGATGAGCCTCAATCTCCCTCCTGAAAAACAGCATCCCCAGCTGGCCGTGAGAGGCTTCATTCATGGCCTTGGACTGAATGCACATTTTGTACTGCTCTGGGGTCAGCTCATCCAAGCAGTGCTTTTCATGCCAGAGGTGGAAGAGGCCCCGGACAGGCGTCCGGACCACAATGAGGTTGCTGTGAAGGTATTTGCGGTACAGATGTACATCTTCTCCTCCCCAGCCTTTTATGTCGAGATCAAATCCTCCTAAGAAAAAAGAAGAAGAAAGGTTTCATGTGATTGTGGCACACAGAGAGAGACCTGTGGGCCCAGGAACTGAGGGGAAAGCTTTTCAAGAAGGTTGCCACTGCGAGAAATCAACTGCGCTGACAGTCAATGCGTTTCTTTACTTGCAGAGTCTTTTGGATCAGATCAGGATATGACTCAATATTTTTAAATATACAGTGGCACCTCTACTTGCTTTGACTTCCAGTTACGTATCCTTCAGGATATATTCGTGGCAAACCCGGAAGTATTTTTCCAGGTTTCACCATGCGCAGAAGTGCTAAACCGTGCAGTGCACATGCGCAGAAGCGGCACCTCCAGTTGCGGAAACCTCGGGATCTGACCGGAGCTTCAGAACGGATCCTGTCCACAACCAGAGGGACCACTGTATTCCCAAAATGGCTTGGGAGCCTTAAGGGTCCAGAGAAGAGGCTTGATTGTGCCCCACATAAATGTAACTCTAATTTGGCATGGTGGGAACCAGCCTTGATTGGATTTAATATCTAAATTAATATTAATTTCATTTCATTTCTTACCAATGTTGATATAATCAGAGCGGTATTGGCAAGTCATTCCAAAACCAAAGTCTCTCCAAAACCCCGTCTCCTTTTTTATAACCTGGAAGAAAGAAAGGTGCATTTATCTGTGTATGTGTGCGTGCATATTTCACATAAAGATCATTTATCCCTGTGTGGTGGCTGCTTCCAGCTGCAGTCAGTTAACACTCCCTTATCTCTCACTTTTGCTGTTCTTTCATATTCTAAGAGCTACACCGCACATGTTAGAATCAGATACACAATAAGGACTTAGCATGTCTTCAGATGGTCCACCTAGTGTGTGAGGTCCCCACACAGTCTTTGTTTTTAGCTATATCCATACAAAATAAATCTGCCACTGGATCCCTCCTTGAAACTGTCATACTGCTATAGACATATAAAAAAAAGTAGACTGACACTTCCATCATCTGGAGACAAGGCTTGTTATAATAATAATAATAATAATAATAATAATAATAATATTTTATTTATACCCCGCCCTCCCCAGCCAAGGCCGGGCTCAGAGCGGCTTACAAGCAATAATAAAAACAAGTTGAATGATTACAACTTAAAAACAAAATTAAAATACAACATTAAAATATTGAAACATTAAAATATTAAAATGTAGCCTCATCGCAGGAGGAGAAAGGAAAAGAAAAAAGAAAGAGGGAGGGAATCAAATTGGCTCCAAGCCAAAGGCCAGACAGAACAACTCTGTCTTACAGGCCCTGCGGAAAGAAATCAGATCCTGCAGGGCCCTGGTCTCATGAGGCAGAGCGTTCCACCAGACTGGAGCCAGAGTTGAAAAGGCCCTGGCTCTGGTTGAAGCTAATCTGACTTCCTTAGGGCCCGGGACCACTAGGGTGTTGCTGTTTATGGACCTTGAGGCTCTCCATGGGGCATACTGGGAGAGGCGGTCCCGTAGGTACGAGGGTACTAGGCTGTGAAGGGCTTTAAAGGTCAAAAGCAGCACCTTAAATCTGACCCTGTACTCCACCGGGAGCCAGTGCAGCTGGAAAAGCACTGGGTGAATATGCTCCCATGGCAGAGACCCCGTGAGGAGCCTCTGTTAGTGATGTTTGAAATCATGGAGAAATCCAGGATTGGGCAGCAGTCACCAGCACCACCAAACAAAGTAGAAGCAAAGACTCCTGGACTCTTGACTTTTATTTTGTAGGACAAAATGTGGCCTTGTGGAGTTTTAAAACATTTTTAAATTTTCCCCGCTAATACAAATGCAGCCCATTGTTATTATCCCCACCCTGCAGCCTGGGGAGGTACAAAGAAAGAATGTCTCATGATAGCCCTGGAATGTAATACAGTGGTGCCTCGCAAGACGAAATTAATTCGTTCTGCGAGTTTTTTCGTCTTGCGAATTTTTCATCTTGCGAAGCACGGTTTCCCATAGGAATGCATTGAAAACAAACTTGCAAGACGTTTTCGTCTTGCAAAGCAAGCCCTTAGGGAAATTCGTCTCGTGAAGCAACTCAAAAAACCAAAAACCCTTTCGTCTTGCGAGTTTTTCATCTTGCGAGGTACCACTGTAGTCCATTAATTGGGTCCTCCCTTAAAGAGGACGCAGGTGGCGCTGTGAGTTAAACCACAGAGCCTAGGACTTGCCAATCAGAAGGTTGGCGGTTCGAATCCCCGCGACGGGGTGAGCTCCCGTTGCTTGGTCCCTGCTCCTGTCAACCTAGCAGTTCGAAAGCACATCAAAGTGCAAGTAGATTAATAGGTACCGCTCTGGCAGGAAGGTAAACGGCGCTTAAATAGGTACCGCTCTGGCAGGAAGGTAAACGGCGTTTCTGTGTGCTGCTCTGGTTCACCAGAAGCGGCTTTGTCATGCTGGCCACATGACCCGGAAGCTGTACGCCGGCTACCTCAGCCAATAAAGCCAGATGAGCGCCGCAACCCCAGAGTCAGCCACGACTGGACCTAATGGTCAGGGGTCCCTTTAGCTTTTTACCTTTTATCCTTAAGGAGGGCACGTATTGCAGTGAGACCTGGAAAACCGACACCCTGTGTTGTGGATGGGTACTATTGGTCAGCTACAACCCCCAATTGGTAGGTCCTTCAAAGCTGGGTGCAATCTGGCCAATGGGACGCAGTCCAAACGGTTCGAGGGACCTATATATACCTATGCACATGACCCAGAGTTTCATCTTTCGGCGCGTGCATTCAGAACACCCACCCACCTCTCCCTACTTTTAGGGCTTTGCGCTTGACCTTGCTATGCCGTCCTGTGTCGTCTGTCGTTGGGACAGGGGCACGGCAGGAATTTTCCCCACTTGGCTGATTGGCTGGTGCCATTTGGGTTTCGCCTGCCGTGTAGCAAATCATCACAACTTGTAAGGTTGCAGATAGGCTCTGGTTCAGGTGATAGGGATGGAGAACGCTCTCGCCATCCCTGTGTGAAGGGTACTCCCGTTAAAGGAATCCAGGGACTCGATGGTTTGGTCAACCCCTCAGAGGGGGTTGTGCCCATGCCTGAGTCCAGGTGGACATTTGGGTGGCGGAGTTAGCCCGTTCCCGGCTTTCCGCTTATCCAGGTGTTCACCCTTGTCTGACCTATGCTGGAACCCTGGGTCACCGCTACCTGCATGGCAGGGAGCTAGTCGAACCAGAGCCTATGCAACCAGTCACATTTTGCAATCAATAAAGTTGTGGCCTAAATTCTGCCAAAAACCAAAACCAAAATTTGAGACAAGTGTGAATTTATTTAGGGGGGAGGTCTCTGGGTCTGAACACGCAATTCATATTTTTGCTGATTTCAGACAAGCTGAGGTTTGGGATTTGAATACTAAGGCTGCTTTCAGATGACATCATTACTGATTTGCCTTCAGGGAGATTTCATGACGTTGCCTCTTTAATGAGCATTTATTCTGATTTATCTGGGGGTGTTAGCCGATGCTGCATCGAAGCGAGCCTTATCCCAAACTTCCCAATACATTTCCGCATCATGCCCCCTTATTGCAAAAAGTCCAGTTTTTTTGGGGGGGGGGAGCAGGT